CAAAGTATAACTTCAATGCTTGCTAGGCCTTAAATACAATTATTTAAAATTAATCAGCAAGAAAATATTTGTTCATTAGCAGGTTTAAAAAGAAGCTGTCTTCAGTATTGCTGAGGTGCTTTTCTCTCCGAGAGTGTGGGAGTTACTGGACTAGTTATCTTATTTATTAGTTGCAATCCCATGATACTTTTTCTGAATAGCAGTTGCAGCCACCAAGATGGGAATAAAATATATGCACCTTTTGTTCATGAACACCATATGCCTGAATTTGCAATGATTAAGGAGAATAATATGGAACATTCAAAAATTAGACTGTGCAATTTGAAATTTATCTTCTTTCATTTCTGTTTCTCCCAGAAGACTTTCCATTATTTAGTAATATAATTTCTGCTGATATATTGTTGGGGCTGCAAATATGCCTGCAGCTCATAATCATTTTTCAAGATTACAATAAATGTGTAACATACATTAAGCTGGAAGATAGGAATTTGTGGTTACCTGGTTGCATCAAAACCTACCTGCCTCCCTGAAACAATGCAGCCATTATGTGGACAAATTCCCCAGTTAACTCAAGCAATCACATAGCTAATTGCCATTTAAGCCTGGCCAACAGAATGGTAGGCCTAGGCAGATCAGAATGGTAAATTCTTGAATGAGTATGAAAGAGACAACTCCAGGCTCTGGGACAGAAACTTCATTTTATTGGTTTCATATGGACCACGTTGCTTGCCGATAAATACCTTGGCAGATCATCAAGATGAAATATGAATAGCTCTGCCCTATTCTTATTCTATTCTTATTTCAAATGGTGTTAATTCTGGGGATGCAGAACCTTTTTAAAATATAGAAATCATTCAAAAGTATGATAATCAACAACCTGTTTAAAATAAAAGCTGGCCCTAATACCTAAGGAATCTTCCACCTTACCATCATGTTTTCTTTTATGTATAAATCATGCCACATCTATTAGAAAACTTCTACATTTTGTTAGACTGAAATTGGGAGGTTCTAGCTTCAAAGGAATAGGGTTAGTCCTGCCATTATTGAAACTGAAACATGACGCATCGCAAGGACTGTACAGACTAGGGTGTGCTGGAGGAGCATAGAGGTCCTTGCTTATTTGGGGGAGGGGGTTATTTGAGCTTTGGCTAATTAGTTCTTCTCATGCTGTGCCCCCACCCCCCGAAGTGATTTGATGCTGATTTTTGGAGTATGTCTGATCAATCAAATTTGTTCTTGGACTCTATACAATGCCAGCCCATACCTCCAGCTGTAGCTTATTATAAAGCTGCAATGGAAGATAACCTTCTGCATTTCATTGCTGCCACTGGGCACCTTCCAAATTAGTTCATCACTCTTGCTCCACAGCCTCCTTCTAACAGGGCAGCCAGCTCAGTGTAAGCAAACCCATGTTAGTTCATCCAAGCAGCCGCATCTTCCCCTCAGCCACATCACTCCCCAGCGACACCACTCCCACCCTTGCTATAGACAGCGCCTTATTAATAAAATGGCAGTACAGCCCTGTGGGCAGAGACCCAGATTGGAAGGCCATGGGGATATCAAATAGCACCTCTTGGAAACAGCTCAAAGGAAACAACTTTTTTCCAGGATTGCACATTAGTTACTGCAGCTGCTGCAAGGAGCTCCCTACAGATGCTACATACATGCCCAGGCTAATCTCTGCATAGCCCTAATAGGCCCAAGCTTTTGCAAGCATCTTTGGTGGGCTCTCTTCCACTGCTCCTTGTACATGCGTAACTTGGGAGACTGCCTGAGGGCAACAATCACAGAAATAGTTACCAAATAACATTGTGTACTGATTATAACTATCATAGAATAGGTTATTTTATTGTGTGTATATATAGATACATAGACAAGTTCCGTACTTTTTAAATTATAGTATTGCGTGGAATTTGAACTGGAAAGAAATAACTAAAACTTGAGACCATGAGATAATCTTTCATTCCAAAAACTCAGGCTAATCACATGTGGGTGGTATCACCAAGTCTGGTCATCTCAGTGAGCTCTTTGTTCAGGGTTATCATAGAAAGCTCCTGTTTCCCACTGACTAAGTTGCAGTGCCCCTCCATGCTACAGAACCTTCTCCTTCTTCCTCCCCTCAGCCCAGGAAAGGGGGGGAAACAGCCCTTCAGATTCTTGGAAATGGTTATCATGCTACCCCAGAGTCTTCTCTTTTCCAAGCTAAAGATATTCAATAATATCAACTGATTCTCATAAATGTACCTTCCAGGTCCATTATAATCATAGCTGTCTCCTCTGAGACTTGTTCCCATTTGTCAGTGTCCTTAAAATATGGTGTCCAGTTTCTAGGTGGTCTGATTTACACACAATAGAGAGGAATGTCAACTTCTCTTGATCTTGACACTGTATTTCCAGGTATGTTTTCTACAGCCGATCTGCTATTTTCAAAAGAAAATCTTTTTTGGCTTGTATTGGTAAAGCATATTCAATTACACAGAAAAGGTTGTTTCTTCAGTTAAAAAAGTAACCAGAAGTTACCCCGTTCTGTGTTAAATTCTGTTCAAAACAGAGTGACTGATTATTGGGTGGAGAACTGAAGTGAGAAATATTTTAACTGTAATAGGGCTGTGAAAGTGTTTTAAATCATTACCACAAGTAGTCACTCTGATCAATTTTTCCAAGAGCAGGAAGATAAGAGGGAAATGCCCAGCACTATGTTGTAAGATTCTGGCTCTTAGGAAAATAAACAGAGAATGACTAGCAACAGGGTCTGGAAAACCAGGTGAGTCCATGACTTGAAGCAGACAGCAATGATGACTCCACTGATTCATCCTCCACAGAAGAGGAAAGGTGATGGAAGTATGAAGAAACTAAAACTGTCTGATTAATCAGTACCTGAGAGGAAGGAAACCAAACCAATTGCCATGAAGCCACAGAACATGAATATGAAGCATTCAAGAAAAGCATTAATAAGCAGGTTTCGGGGAAATGCCCACACAGAACAGCTTAGAACATCCATTCTGTGGATGACAGAAGATATGGAAGAAGCCAAAAAGAAGTACCTTTTCTTTTGAAGTTCATATTTTTACCTATAAACTTACATGGTAACAGGATTTGAAATGGCAAGACAGGTACCATTTTCAGTTTCTCCATTTTACTTGCAAATAAAGCAGGGGATTTTTCCTGTCACGCAAGCCAGATAATTGCCCTCAAATACCTTCCTCTCTATTGTGTATGAAGCTTTGAGGCTATTTGGTACATGCAATCTACTACAGCCATATTTATAGCCACAACCAGGACTAATTTATGTGGTATACACACACATGTGCATGAACACGCAAAAGCCAATTTGGCTAATATTTGTAAGGCATGTAATTTTATCCCACCTGATCACTGGTCAGATGGAGGGGAAAAAAGTCCTCTTGCTTCTGGAGACAGGACACACCATTCAGCCTGTACCACAGTAGCAAAGCAAGCACCTCTTGGCTTGTGTGCATTCTGCACATCTGGGAAAGTAGTCAGTTCACAAATATGGCACTGCTTGAGACTATAAGACAAAGAAAATGTGTATGTAGGGCAGTGCCCAGGCATTTATACTATCATCATCATCATCAATTATATTTGTTTCTGAAATGTCTGTTAGGTACGGTATAGGTGTTTTTAAAATCTTTTATCCCGTTTGCGCGTGGGTTTATAGTATCGCAAATTTGAGATTTTTAAAATAAAACTACATACAGCAAATAATTCTATTAAAAAAATAATGGCACTACTCATCAAGTGATATTGTAGCCTACACTCTACCATTAGCAGGAGCTGAAAGCAAAGCAAGTCAATACCCACTTTGCTATTGCTAGGAGGTTTTTGAAACTTATAATTTAATCTTAACAGATTCTGTTAAGAGCAATAATATCCAATGATGGCTCAGAGCACATGATTTACTGAGACTTTTGCCTTATATATATAAAAAAATCTCATAAAGCTACCAGTGGCATAAAAGCTACAATAAGAGGAATAGCAAACATTAAATGTCCCAATTTCTATTAATCAGAGTGCTTTAAGTATGTATGTATGTATCTCTATAATGGTCAGAATAGTAATTAGAAATGTATTCAGTTTTTTAATTGAATTAAAAAGCCAAGCATAAGAGACTTTCATAGCCAAATGCATTTGTTTAAAGTTCTATACATTCAGTATCAGTAAGCAAATAGTTTTGAAAGTAACCTATCAGTGTTTAATACCATTTTCACTGTTTTTATTTACTTTTCCTAAAGGCTTCCAGGTTTTTTCAATAAGTAGTTTAGGACTGTGTGACTAGTCATTTTCAAGTTCAGCTATATCAAAAGATAAATATTTGGGTAGAAATGTAGAAGATTTGAAGAACTACATTGTGAACAGATCCGCCTGGAGAACATCTATCTAAGTGGTTGCTAAGAGCTGGCACCAACTCTATGGCACATAACTTTGGGTACAGGGTAAACCAAAGGATATCTGCAATATTTGACTTACAACTGGATGGTAGTTCAGATGAGCTTCAGAGTTTATCTCCTGTTTGATTTTAAATAACTCTTAGAATATTTGGAATGTGAGTAACTGCAAATGGGTAGTCTAATCTTTCTCCTGGTCACTCCATTTTGAGTCAGGAATAAAGAAAGCCCATGAGCAAGAGTTTTGCAAAATTCCAGTATCCTTCATTATTCTTTTGGTGGACAAATGACTGCTCAACTGTACACTAGCCATTAGTCCAAATAACCTAAATGAGAAGTCACAATTGGCCCCAATGAGCCTTGAACAGAATCTGACTGCAAACTGCAGCTCTCTCACTTGACTACAATCTTGCCCGTGCTCCTAGTTGTAATGACATGTTCAATCTAGCCACAATATACCTTAGATATGTTTTATGAACCAGATGACCGTTTCATGTAAAAAGAAAGATGTTAGGCATATATCTGAAATTCCTGACATTCTTATAAATGGACTAGTAAAGAGAAGATACGTATACAGATGTCTCTAAACATACAAATTTTATTTCTAAAAGTAGTTCGTTAGCTTTACAGCCATGACAAATCTGTATAGCCTGAGACCATAGGCTGTATCAACTAGTGAGCAGGGTTGTAACTTGATTATTCAAAGAATTTGTCCTGGTCACAAAGGAATTTTGCATATGCCCACAGTTATTATGGTTTCATCAAAATTATTTTTCAAACAATAAAGAGAAAAGAGGATACAGCTATTAAAAATAAATGTTAAAAAAGATGTTTTTAAAATGTTAAAAATGTTTCACTGAGGCAAAGCTACTTTACTAAGCAGTTATTTTTTTAAGCTTGATCATTTTTCCTTGCAACCATGGATGATTCCCTCTCATTTGGAAGCCTATTTTCAAATCATAACTATGCTAGATGTAATCTTGCTAGCAGCACTGAATACTCCTAGAGGTAACTGTACAGTTACCAACAAACTGAGCCCACGATAAACTATTGTAACATGAAAATTCTTCTATTCTACCATGAATCAGAAATGTTGCTGGGATGGATTTTAACAAGAGTACAGTTTTAAGACAGAATGGAGCATATTATCTCAATTTAGTTAGGTAGCCAAGATGAAGCTACTTCAATAAGAGCTGAAAATTTAAATTTAGTGGTAAATTTAGTAGTGCAAGGACAGATTATATTTCATTAGTAATTATGTAATTATAAAGCACAAAAAACTCATGGCTAGACACTGAAAAGATTTATGAAATCTTTGTTTTAGAAATTATGTTTCAGTGGATCTGGCAATTGTGAATAGCAAAGCAATCTTATTTAATTATTAATTACATTATTTTATTATTATTAATCTTATTAACCTATTCAGAAAACAATCCCATTAAGGTCAATGGATCTTACTTCCAAATACAGTGGACATCAGAAATGGAGTGATAGATAATACCACATTGTGGGTGGAAGTGAAGGTTAGAAGTCACAGCTGAATTAAATTTTGAATTCCATATGCAGTTCCTTGAATATCAAAAATAAATACACCTTTTGTAATATGCACATGGTGAGAGTTCTGACAAGTTATATTTGGACTGCAAAAGTATTTTCCATGCTAAACTGCCAAGCTGAAATTTAATTCTGTGTATACAAACAAGATATAATAAGTTATATTTAAACATCCAAATATAATCCAAAATGGATTAAGTATTCCATGATATATGCTAATTAGCACTTTTACAATTGTATTATTTTTGCACTTGAAAACGTACAGATAAAATCAGATTTAGATACAAGCAACAAAGCTGGAGTAAATGAAGTTTCTGCTCCCGACAGCAGTCCCTTTAGCCTGAAAGTTGTAGCCTACTGTATACAGAGTTAAGAAGAATGGGTCCATGAAATTTGGGCAAAGTTTCTTTACACGGTGTCCCAAAATTATGGCTGGAAGCACCGCCACGAGGAAAATCCAATTCCACCAGTTCCACTGCAAACATCTAAATACAGATTTTATTTTGAAAGCACTGTTTTCAAAAGGTCACAACAATATGTATTACCAAGAACGGTAGGTAGAAAACTTGTTTAACAATAGGAATAGAATGTAGGACAATGTATTTTTCAGTCAACAATACATATTGACTAATAATTGTTATGTAATTGAACCTATAATACTTCTCATAACTATTTATCATTATTAGAGTCATTGCATCAATTGTATGAAGATAATTCTTCGTATACTCAGATTCTTATAGCTGAATCCTATTCTAACTGCTTTTTTAAATTAAACAGCAACATTATTAACTTTGACTAATTACATGTTGCCATCTCAGTCTGGTTAGACTTAAAAGACAGTTTGTATTTACCCTAGATAAAAGTTTAGCTTGAAGGAAAGGGTGGTCTTTCCTTTTACTATTTTTATACATCTAAAGTATTCAGTCTTACCCAAGAGTTCTACATGGGATGTAGGCAATACCAATGCATATTAGAATACACTCTAAAATTACTGTGAACAGGTTTTGTAGATTTAATATGTGTAACAGTATTCAGTATACTTCAGTATATAATAGCCAAGAGGTAGAAATCATGAGACATATTTTCAAGTTTATTTAAATAAATAAGCAGTTTAAGTTGTCCATGTCACATTATACATATCTTCCTAGCTTCCGTGCCTAGTTTTCTTTTATCTTCTTTAGAGTTCAATTTATATATTTTGCCAAAAGGAGGATAAAATCTTGACCTTTTAACACAAAGCAAGACGCACTGGATTCTCCAGGTTTGCCTTAAGTGTGTCTAAAAATTTAGAGGCTAGTTCATCATCTATCACTCGACCATCACTTGAAAGAGTTATCGTTATGAGCTGATGTTGCTGAAGCTTCTCATTCCCATCTTCATCCTCCACAACAGAGAGTTCTGCCCGAGCGCGTCCCACGGTTAAGATGCAGGCTTGAGGAGGCATTACAAGACCAATGAAACTGTTGATACCGAACATTCCAAGATCTGAGATGCTTTGGTTGGAAAAGGGTCAAGAAATAGAAAAACAAAATAAGCAAAACACTCTGGAAAAATAATTCAGAAACTGCTTAATACAAGCATGAAGGTAGAAATACTGTAAGTATGTTGTGATAATGAAGTCTGGATTTTGAATTTAGCTTTAAACATTACAGTCAAGTATTCTCATTCTTCATCAACATGAGAGAAAAGGTACCTTGGGGAAGAACTGGTTCAAAACTCCATGAGATGAAACACAGCTACTGAGCCATTGGCATACCTGTTAAGTGCGAAATCTTTGTTGGCAAACACTTACCCATTCACGTCTAGTGTTTGGGTATGCAATATGGGACCCATGAATATCAATGGGTCCACAGATGCTCCCCTGATTTTAGAATATTTTAAAATGTTATTTTAATGACAACATGGGAAGCTGGCACACTTAAACACAAACAACAGTATATTTTCAACAATATCTCAGAGCCAAATAAAAACCCAGAGTTTTTCTTAGAAAACAAAATGGTGACTGCAGCTTAGATAAGCCAAGGTGGTAGAAAGCATCCTGAGAAGTTAGAAGGGATGGTGGCAAACACTCTCAACAGTGTGCCTTTAGGAAATAGATGTTTTGTAATTAGCTATGCCCAACTTCCAAACATGCTCCTTCACCCTGGTAAGTTGGGGATTACTGATCAAATGACTCAACACAGAATACTTACTTGGAAAAGTAGCCCATGAGTACGAACACTAGATTGCAAACAAAGCAATCATCTCCCACATAGCCCCTTAAAAATTTTGAAATATCACAGCATATCACAGATATAGACAGCTCATTCAGAACAATAAGTTACTTTGAATTCTTCTGATTTAAACTCTGACATGGGCTTTTTAAACTGTTTCTTTGCAACTTGAGGAAAAATGGCTCCTTTTCTTATAACAATACAATGTTATATTGTGGTTTTACAAAACTGGTGTCTAATAAACTGAGGAATAATATCTATCAGGAGGAATCCAAGGTGACTGGAAGCACTTGCTTGTTCATCGCAGCAGAATCAATGCTAGGAAATCTGACAAAGTGGATCAGCCCTAAATGACAGTGAACCAATGAAAAATGTTTCATTATCTTTGTGTAAACGTTCTGCAGTTCTGGTTTATGACTTTCCCCTTGCCAGGTAAGGACCTTCTTCTCTGCTATAAACTGAGCATGGCAACGCTAATAAAAATGCTGTTATTTTTTTGACGTTTTTCCAAATATGCAATATTCTTACCATCAAGATTTAGAGGAACAGAAGATATGAAACAAAACAGCATCCCATTTCCCTGAAAGTCCATCTATACAGAAGATGTCCTTTAGAGGAACATTTTTCCTCTAACACTACGCTCATACTAATTTCTATTTTTGAGTCAGTTTGGAAAGGAAATCAGAGGCCATTAGTAGAAAAGGCTGTCTTCCCTTCCAAAGGGAAGAAAACTGCCACATACCCCTTATTCCACTTTAGCAGTCCAACACAATCTTTAGGAAAGGTAAGATATTGTTGATGCTGACAAAAACTGGGGGTACTCCAGTTTTGTTACTTCTCATTGTATCTGGGAGTACCTATAAGCAGTGGCTCTTGTTTCTTCTGGTCACTTGAAAATTTGGAGCTACTATCTGATTCAAGAAAAGGGCTGCTAAAGAGCAAACAGGGAGGATGTCTGCCCTCTTTAAAATCCCATCCTCAGCAAGTCTACAAAGTATGAGAGGGAATGAAAGTGTGGGCTGGATGCAGTTTTCCATCCTTGCACTACTGGATGCACAGAAATATATTGCCCTTTACCATCTCAACTACATGTATGAGAAGGCCATTGGAGAATTAAGGGTTAATTAAACCCATTAAATTTAATCAAAATATCTCTAGCTTGAAGCTAACTGGTTTCCAATTCAGTGATCTAGCATAAATGTCATTGGCTCCAAGTTATACTAGTTCTACATAGTGTTATTTCAGATTTGTGGGACTGATAAAAGAAAATGCCATGCCTTTTTAGTCTCTTCCTAGTTTAACATTAAGCATTGTAAATCTACTATATTTAACAATTTTTCTTCAGAATGAGCTAACAGTGGATACTTCTTTTGTGAAGCTTTTATGCTGAAAAAGGACTTATATTCATCTATTTACTAGATTCCTATCAGCCTTAAAATGTTTTGACTGAAGTGTTTATTTATTATCCGGGAATCATTTTTACGAATGTAATAACCCTAACAATAAATTCATTGCTATACTCCAAATAACAGATTCAAAATTTTATACCTTAGCAGATACTATGATTCCATAGTGCACCCTAGAACATTATTACATTTATATACATTTAGATTACATATACATAACAGTACATTATTAAAATTGCTGAATGTCTACTGAAAGGCTAGAGGGTTAAGTTCAAGAAACAATGTCATATAGATAAAATTCATATATAAAATGAAATAATAAGGGAAATCATAATCGTAATAATAGCAGCCTCAAAATACCTTTTTTATACCTTATAGGTGCAAGAAAAATAGAATATAACAGTACAGTGGTACCTCGGGATACAAACTTAATCCGTTCCGTGACTCTGGTTGCAACTC